ACACACACACACACACGGCACACAACACACACACACCACCGCACACACACACACGCATGGCGCGCAGTGATCATCGACGAGGTGATCAGCAAGCACAACGAGGTGGCGCGGGTGTTTTGGAGGACCAAGGTCGCCAAGGTGGACACGGAGGGGCGGATCCGCAAGATCGAGAAGTCGCTGTCGCTGCCGTGGGGCGTGTTCCTGCGCAAGCTGGCCAGCTTCTGCGGCCTGTGCGAGGACGTCAAGGAGATCAAGTCCAAGGTCAAGATACGCGCCCTGCGCCTCCTCCTCGGTATAATATTACCCCCCCCTGCCCCAATGCTATCATTTTATTTGGGTTTTATTTGTTAATTATTAGTTATCTGCATTTGTTTTATTTGTGTGTTGTTGTTGTATTTGCGTATTTGTTGTTGACACTGACCATTGGTGGCCAATATGATTCGAGTAGCCAACAAAGTGGGCGAGGTGACCATCGAACGATTCGCGGAGATCCTCGAATGGTTTGGACCTTTCACCGCCAACGGAAAGACCTTCCTCTCCAACATCAAGAAAATCACACGACTCCCGTACGCCTTCTTCTTCTTCTTCATCATCATCATCCCCCCTGCGCTGTCTCGCGACCTTCTCATTCTCATCGACATCGTCATCGTCATCGTTTCTCCCGAAGGGGCTTCTTCGGCGACGACTTCAAGGACCAGAAGGCGCTGGCCAACCTCATGGCGGGCAAGGAGGTGGGTTCCTACATGGTGCGCTTCAGCTCGCAGGTGGGCTCCTACACCATCACCAGCATGGTACGCGCACCACCGCCCGCCCGCCACCCCCACCACAATGTGCGCGACACGCATCGCGATGATGACTGACTCTTGAGTCTCTGCTGCTGCTGCTGCTACTGTGATGGTGAATGATGAATGGTGGATGGATGCCAGGCGGCCAAGGGGGCCATGCTCAACCAGCGAATCGATCGCACGACCGACGGCAACTTTGTGGTGAAGGTGAGCGGGGTGAGCCACTTCTTCGCCACCATTGAGGAGATTCTGGAGAAGTTCAAGACCACCTGGCACCTCAAAGTACACTCTACCTCTCAAATTTGTGAGTGGGCCGACGGAAGACTAACGATCGCATGGTGGCGATGATGATGATGATGATGGTGATGGTTGCAGGAGGCCCTCACGCCCTCCCGCTACTCGCAGCTCTACCAGGAGGAACCCGACAAGTTCATCTACCGGTACATCGCCTCTCTTCTTCGTCCTTTCCTATTTTCTTTGTGTGCCTGGAGGCTGATGATGGCTGTGCTGATGATTGATGATGATGATGAATGATGAATGATGAATGACCATCACCACCACCAGGGAGTGTCTCGTGGTGTCCGACCCTTCGAAAAGCGCGGAGCTGCCGTCCGTCACCATCACCTCGGAGCTGGCGCCCCCGCGCGCGAGGGACACTTTGCGGACCAGCGACCCCTCCCACCAGCACCACACAAACAAATAAAATAAAATAAATTCCACTCCTCTCTGGTGGTGGTGGGCGGCAGGCCACGTTCTCAGCCTGGCCGCAAGGAGACCCTGTGCAACGTAAGTTGCTGATGGTGTGCCTATCACTTCCTCTTCGAGGATGTGACCGCGGAGAGGAGCGCCCTCGCTTCTCGATGGCCACCTCGAGCAGCTTTCGCACTCCACACGCGCGACGAACAGCGCGCCGAGGGCCAGCGCGGCCACTCTCTCGTTGTTGACGGGGTCCCCGTCGTGTACAGTCGGTACCTGTACCCATGATTCACCGAGAGAAGGAGAGCTGCAGGTGTGGGCTTAGCGTTGGGCCAGCGTGAGCGTGTGGACAACTTTTTTGTCTATGTCGTACAGAAAACTACTTTCTGGTCAGCCACTCACTGCCCAACAAGATATGTGAACCAAGACATCCATGTCGCCCCTTCAGTATACCGTATCTAACAACCTGGCCAACACTGGTGTTGGAGTTGTGTTGCCTGTGCAGGTCTTGCAGAGGGGAGCTGTGGAAGCTTACAAGTTTGTTGGTGATGGTGTAGTTGGTGAAGTTGCTGTAGCTCATACCAGCAGCTGTCTTGATCATGTGGGCAATGGAAGATGCAGAGGTGTGGGAGGAAGAAATTGAAGAAGGCTGGCCACCCACTCAAGCACTGAATGCCATGGTAACTTACACTTCAAGGGGCGGTGCGCTTGGCAGGAGCGCAGCCGCGTGGTGTTTCCGCCACTCTCGGTCAAGGTGCGCTTTCTCGTCAGCCAGCAGCTCGCTGACGCTGCGGAGCCGCTGGTCGCGGTCGAGCTCCAGCACCAGCACTCGAAGCCGCAGCTCCGTCGTGGCGTCCTCCACTGCGCTCGCCTTGCGCTCATCGGCCGTCACCAGCTGTTGGCGCGCCCTCCCCTCCGACGCCTGCAGCCGTCGCCACTCGCTGGCCCATTTCTCGTCGTCATCCAGTTGCGCGCCAACGAGGCCCTGCTGGGCCGCGGCGATGCGCTCCAGCTTCGCCGCGTGCTTGGCCGATGCCTGCCGTTGCACCGTTGGGTGAGTGTGCAGGGTGTGGCTGGGGGGGCGGGGGAATGCTGTACTGCGCTGTGGACGCGCTCAGCGGCGTGCGCCTTGACTCGGCAGATGTCGTCGGCCAGCTGCTTCTGCTGCGCGAAGTCGTCCTGCGGTACCATCATGCGCGCATTCAATTACGCATCCACCACGCACCACGCACCACGCACCACGAAGAAGAAGAAGTCGTACGTGCACAGCTCTGCATGAATTGGCCCACAACTTGGAAGCGACCGCGTAGCGATACTGGAGATGACACAGTTGTGCGGCCAGCTCTGCGTCGGGCACGAGTCGCCCCACAAACTCGGATAGCGGCCTGTCCACGAGCATGATCATGGTGCCATCATCACGCGAAGACCCTCAATCACGCTTTACACACACACACACACACACACACACACACACACACACACACACACACAATGCAGAGACCAGCTCACACTCGACAACGCTCTCTCGCTCGGGCGCGTACCAGTCCCAGTAGAGATCGATCAGCTCGCAGAGGTGGAGACGCTCCAGCTCCCGGCCGAACAGGCCCGCCAGCTCCTCGGGTTCGATCAAGGAAGGGTGCGCGAACAGCCACGGCTCGCACAGCTCCTTGACGCGCTGCATTCATTCACACGACACAACACGCGTGCGATGAGCCGCACCGCACACGGCCAACGACACGACACGACACGACACGACATGACACGACACGACACGACACGACACGACACGACACGACACGACACGCACATGTAAAGGTACCTGGAAAGTCCATTGCTGCTGGTCCAGCTCGAGGAAGAACAAGTGCCTCAGCTGCGCCCGCCCGATGAGCTTGGGCTCACGGTGGCCCTCCTCGTGCACAAGCCGCGAGAAGGTCATCGCATCGTCGCCGCCGCCGCCGCACGTAGGCTGTGGCCTGGTGGCGACTACGTCAACGTAGCGTCTGCTGCGCTGAGCCCATAGCCGGGCGCCCAGCGCGACGGCCACGACGCCGCCCGTGGTCCAGAGCCACGCCACCAGCGCAGCGCCGCTACGTCGTGGTGAAGGCCACGACGACACGAGGGCTGGTTGCGCTGCTGACGTGGCAGACAAGAAAGTAGAGAGGAGGCGGAGGAGGAAGTCGAAGGCCAGGGGGCGGAGGCCCACAAGTGCGGCCAGGCCGCCGGTTGATCCCAGCATGAGGCCCAGCGCACGCCACATGAGGCCAGCGCCGCTACTTGGGGGTGGTGCATGCCCCTCACCTTCTGCATTCGAGAGCCGCCTGCAGGTGGCTCGGTGCCGCCCCCGTAGGGGAGGTGGACCAGAGCTCCTGCTCATCGTCGTTGTGCTGTCGCCCTCATGTGCGCCCATCTTGGGGAGTGGTGTGCTTTTTTCTACCTTTTTTTCTCTTTCCTTTCTTCTTGCTTCTTCGCGTTGCAGAAGGCTCGAGCAAGGCTTATTACACGAGGGCGTAGAGGGGGTTGCTGGCCTCGCCTGTGCCCTGCACGGTGCCTTGTGAGCACAGCTGTTGGAGGGCGTCCTTTACGTCACCCACCGACACCTCCACTGACGACTGCCGTCGAAGGGCGTCCACAATCTGCGCCACCCGCACACCGCCTGGCATGTCGCGAGAGAGGGAGGCGAGTGCGTGTGTCGGTGAGTCCGCGGGCTCTGGAAACAGCGGGCCAAGAAAACAAGAGACATCGAAGCCGTACCGGTGTGGGCGAGGAGGAGTTGCTGGATGGCGTTGGCGAGGTCTGACGTGCGCTCGCGAGCGGTGGCCGAGCGGCCCGTGGTGAGAAGGTCCATATCGATTGTGCCCGTGCGCGGGTCGGTCGCCGCCTGGAAAAAGAACGAAGAAGAGCCGATCAGTGTGTTGGTTGTATCCACGAAGACCACGGTGACGGCGAGAAAAAGAAGAAATCAGGTGGGGGTGGTACCTGGTGGAGGGCAACGCGCACGAGGCGGGCCGCCTCCTTTACGGCGTCGAGGTCGACAACCTGCGACAAGCGCATGCGGGCATGCGCCTCGGACAATCGGATTAGCGATTCCAGCTGACGCGTGGTGGCGGTGATGGTCTTTCCGTGGCCACGGCCCAGTCGTCGCATCGCCACGTACTCCTCGGCCAACAGCGTGGCCGCCTGGTTGGCATTTTTTCACCACACGCACACACAAAACATTCCAGAGTGTAAGCAATATAGAGCTTGAGAATGTTACATATTAGAAAAAAATCATCTAGTGTGGGGTGGTCAACGCACCTCGTCGGAGATGACCGGGTGGACGTGAGCGCGGGCGTAGGCGATGTAGTCCTTGACCGCCTGCGTATCGAGGATGTCCTGAACGGGCCGCGATCGACTCGCGTGGTCGGTGTAGAGCGAGACGATGTGCTGCGCAAGCCGCCTGTCCCTCTCCTGGTCTGCTCGGTCGAGCACCAGGAAGATCTGTTGCACGCATGTGCGTGTGCGGTCGTGCGTGTGCGTGTGCGATTTACGGTGAGCATCGACGGGCAGAGAAGAGTCAGGCTCCGGGTGCGCACCAAATCGAAACGAGAGAGGAGCGTGGGCGGCAACTGGATGTTGTCGACCACGGAGAGGCGGGGGTTGTATCGCGAGTCGCGCGGGTTGGCCGAGGCGAGGATCGACGTGCGCGCATTGAGCGTACAAATGATACCGGCCTTGGCCACCGACACGGTCTGCTGCTCCATCGCCTCGTGCAGAATACTTCGCGTGTGGTCCGACATCTTTCAAGGTTAAAGCCACGAGGTGAGACAAATGTACAACGCGTGTGTGTCGTGTATCGTGTGCGTGCGTGCGTGCGTGCGTGCGTGTTCGATTGTGTGTCGTGGGCACACACCTTGTCGAACTCGTCGATGCAGCAGAGACCGCGATCGGAAAGGACGAGGGCGCCGGACTCAAGGACGGTCTGCCGGGTGTCGGGATCGCGCGTGATGTAGGCCGTGAGACCGACTGCGGACGAGCCCTTGCCCGACGTGTAGATGCCGCGCGGGGCCAGTCTGTGCACCGAACTCAGCAGCTGCGACTTCGACGTACCTGGTAGGCATTTCCCCGAAGCGAGAACAGTTTAAGGTTATCACCACCGACTTATGTTTCAACAACCAACAACCAACAACCAACAAAGGAGGTGGCTGATGCGTACCAGGGTCGCCGCACAGCAGGATGTTGATTTCACCGCGGCAGCGAGGGGCGCCACCGCCCTTGAAGCGCTTGCCGGTGCCGCCAAAGAGCTGCAGCAGCATTCCCTTCTTGATGTCGTCCAGCCCCCAAATGCCAGGCGCTGCGACGGAGAGAGAGAGATTAAGGCTTGTGGTGACGACGATCGGAGGTCGAAAAAGCGCATACGCCGCACGCGCACAACACGACACACACGAAGCGGAGAGAGGCTCACCGACGGATCGGGCGAGGAGTTCGTAGATGTCGGGACGCGTGGCCAGCTCTTCGATCTTTCGCTTCTTCTCTTCCAAGTGCGCCGCCACCGTGGTGCCCTCCTCGACGACCGGCGCGCTCGCCGTAGACTGCGAGAGCGAGGGCTGCGAGGGCTCCGACCACCCCGTCTGCTGGCTGGCGGACTGGCTAGCGCTGACGCCGCTGTCCACCTCGCCCATGGCCTCCTCATCGCCCACGCCCAGCGTGTTCGTCTCCTCCTTCTTGTAGTGCAGCACGTCCACGTCTGAAACACAACCGTCAGTTTACGTTTCAGCTTCCGCTTCGAGCACGAGCCTCTACACGCGAAGTAGCGAGTAGTAAGTCGTAGAGGCCATGTACGTACATGTGCGGTAGATGGCGTGTGTGGTGCGCTGGAAGGAGTTGGGCCGGACGGGCGAGGCGCGGTAGATGCCGGTGACGACGACGCGGTCGCCCGGCTTGGCGACGTCGACGAGCGTGTCGTAGGCGTAGATGGAGACGGTGGCGGGCGTCTCGCCGTCGGGTATGGACTCGGGGGTCTCCTGGAGCTTGTTGACCTGCTTGTCGGCGAACCAGCAGCGGTTGTGGATGAGCTCCATGGCGCCGCGCGTGTTGCAGTTCTCGCAGATGGCCGGCTCGGCGATGCGGCCGCGATCGATCTGCACGCGCATCTCGGCCGCGCAGGCGCCGCAGCGGAAGAAGCCCTCCTTGAGGTCGGGCAGCACGGCGCCGGTGCGCGTGATCATGCCCTTGACCGCGATGAGCTTGTCGAGGTCGGTCGGGTTGAGGTCCCGCATCGACTTGAGGTCCATCAGGTTGAACGTGCGCACCTGCACCTGCAGCACTGTGCCCTCTTGCATGTCTCCCCTGCGCAGTGTATCATCGTTATCGTCATTGTTATGAACATCAACGGCTCGAGTAGGAAGCTGGCACGAAGTAGTAAGTGGCGTACCGTCGGGCCAGCTCCTCGTTGACGAGCTCTTGCACGACTGAGTCGAAGAGCGGCACGACTTCGGTAGGGTAGTTGACCAGGTTGTCGTAGAGGTCGGGGCTGTGGGAGTGAAGGTGCTCGCAGTCGATGTTGATGTAGCCCACCTGTGTATCAACGACGCGGCGCAGCAGGCCAAGGTAGAGCGGCTCGGAATTGCCCATCTCGCAATAGCTGCTGAAGAAATCGCTAAAATCCTCTTGAATCTTTACGATGTTGATGTTGGTGCCCCACACCACCAGGTCGGCCGACGGCTGGGCGCCCATTATGAAGGTTCCTCCGTCTTGACCCCTTGCCGCGAAACCTACAAGCCCGATTATCCATTTGAATGTTCAGCAAAGGAGAATTTCAAGTTTCGAAATCGTACCATTCTCGTCGCCGAGCATCATGTGATTGGAGGCATCTCCCTCATAGCCGAGAAGGGTATCATCCTCGTCCATTTCGAGTATGCTTTGTGTTCTGCTGATTTGCAATCGAATGTGAATTGGCGCCAAAACGTTTTGGCGCGAAGCCAAATGAAAAAGAAAAATGAGAAAAGAAAATATGCAGCATGGAACAGAGAGGTGCAACAACTACAGGCGACAAGAAGGCAACAGAATTATAAGGGGCGGGGTGATCGGGGGCGGCTAGTAGTCGAAGAGCAGGCCGATCGCTGACGCGGCGCGGCGGCGCACGTCGGCCTCCTTCTGCTTGAGTAGCCCGACGAGGGCCTGGGTGATGAGGCCCACGTTGAGGGTGGTGCGCTTGTGGGGCGGCAGCTGGCCCAGGAGCGAGCCGACGAACGAGGCGGCGCTGCCGCGGATCGGGGTCCAGTTGGACTGGAAGTGCTCGATGCTGGTCATGACGTAGTAGTTCATGCGCTCGGGGTAGTACTCGATCAGCAGCTTGGCAAAGTCGGTCAAAAAGTCGTCGAAGGTGAAGTAGGCGCCCGGCGCGAGCTGTTCGTCGAGGAACGCGTTGAGCGGCTCGGCGCGCATGAGCGGGCCGAAGCGGCGCAGGGCCTTCTTGCAGGCCTCCTGCACGTCGGCGTTGGTGTCGTTGATGTGGAGCGTCACGGCGGGCAGGTTCATGTGGATCTGCTCGAAGAACGGATCGACGGCCAGCTCGTCCTGCCCGAACCGCGCCAGGGTGCCGAACAGAGTGAACGACGCGGCGCGCATCTCGTCGCCCGACTTCTCGAAGGCCGGCTTGATGCGGTGGCACAGGTTGATGAGCGTGGGCGCGACGCGCGACTCGTCGACGAGCTCGAACACCTTGGAGAGGCCGTTCATGGACTCCATGGCCAGCACCTCGTCGGCGTTGTCGATGTAGGACACGAGCGCGTCCAGGATCGTGGTGGCGTACTTGTCCACCATGTGCTTGCCCGCCGACACGATGTTGCCCAGGCCGCGCAGCGAGTAGATCTTGATGTTGGCGTCGGCCAGCGACAGCAGCAGCGCGTTCACCAGCTGGTGCAGCAGCTCCCCGTTACCCGCCGTGTGGTTCACCAACTAACCACCATCATGATGTGCGCACACGACACGACACGACACACGCGTAAGCCACAACCCACTGGCCACCGATCGGTGATGTCAAGTGTACCTCGGCGAGGGTGCAGGCGGCGACGATGCGGTGGCCGGGGTAGTTGCCCTTCATGAAGGGGAGGAGGAAGCGGTAGAGCGGGGCGACGTGCTCGGGGTGCTCGCGGCCGACGACGGCGGCGATCTCGGTGATGACGTCGGTGTACTTGGCACCGTCGAGGCGTGACCAGGCGCCCTTGGCCTTGACGGCCTCCTGCAGGGCCTCCTCCTTGGCGCACTCGAGGAAGCTCTTGAAGGCCTCGATGATGACCTTGAGCGCGTCGGGCTGGCCCTGCGAGGTGCCCACGCGCAGCAGGAGCGAGCCGAAGATGAGCGCGTAGTGCTCCTCGACCACGCCCGCCATCTCGTCGGTCTGCATCACCTCGCCCAGCGCGGCCGTGGCCGACAGCACGAGCGGGCGCGCGGTGTACTTCTTGTCCTTGCCCTGGCCCTTCTCGTCGTAGAGCAGGCCGTAGTTGAGCAGCTGCAGGAGGTGGTTGACGAGGTCCATGACCAGCGTGCTGTCCTTGGCGATGACCTGGAACGACTTGACCACCTGCGACGGGTGGGGCACCGGCACGGCGAGCAGCTCGTTCATGACCTGCAGGCGGTGGTGCAGCGCCAGGTTGCGCACGGCATGCAGCGTGGCGTTGAGGGTCTGGTCCACGCTGATCTTCTTCATCTCCTCGATCAGCAGGCCCAGCACTGCGCGTTCGGTTTCACCAATCAACCAACGTCGACGTTAGCCTTTGAAAAAGCGAAAACGAAAGCGAAAAAAGAAAGCGAAAGTGAAAACGAAACGAAGAAAACGAAAGCGATAAATGTACCTTCGGGCACGCGGTCCTTGAGCTCCTCGCCGCGGTTCTTGATGAGGCCGTTGAGTACGACGCAGGTGCCGAGGGCGGAGGGCAGCTGGGAGTCGGTGAGCCCGGCCAGGATGCTCTTGAGCAGCAGCGGGAGCTCCTCGGGGGCCACCATGTGGGCGAGAATGCCGGCCAGCTCCTGCATGACCTTGTACTGGTCGTTCATCTCCGTCGACGCGATCTGCTCGCGCAGGGCGTTGAGCGGTCGCAGCACCGAGGGCGGCACCATGTTGTAGCCCTCCTCGTCCTCCTGGCTCGTACGCAGCATGTTGTCGATATCTGATATAATTCCAAGTTAGTTAACATGTGTGTCGTGCGTCGTGTGTGTGTGTGTCGTTGTGTAAAGGACGTCGTACAGAGGGCGATGCCGACGGCCTCGAGGGCGCGCTGGCGAACGGCGACGACGGGGTCGGTGCAGCGCGGGATGATGAAGGCCAGGCAGGCGCCGAGGCCCTCGAAGAGCTTCTCCTTCTTGGGCCCCGTCTGCGCGGTCTTGTACTCGACGTACTTCTTCAGCAGGTACAGCACCGCGTTCACCGCGCGCTCCCGCACCGCGCCGTCCGGCTTGCACGAATACGTGCGCAGCACCTGCACATGTCGTGTGTGTCGTGTCGCGTGTCGCGTGTCGTGGCGTGTCAGAGCGCAGGTTTTATGAGAGGAGGAGGGGGGAGGTTACGTTGAAGATGCGAGTGAGGGCGGCGATGGAGGTGTCCATGAAGAGGGTGGCGGCGAGGGACTCGTAGAGGGTCTGGAGGACGGTCTGCAGGCCCTTCTCGTGCTCCTCGACCCGCTTCCTGGCCCTCTCGTCCGCCGCCTCCTTCTCCTTGCCCTTGCTCTTCTCCTCCTGTCGAACACACAAACAAGTCGGTCGCGCACCCGTCAATATCGTACAACACCGCCTCCGTGCGTGTGTGGCGTGTGTGGCGTGTGTGGCGTGTGTGGCGTGTGTTGCGTCGCGGAAAGTCGTACCTTGCCGGGAGGAACGCTGCTGAGATCGAGGAAGGCGCAGGTACGCGTCGCCAGGTCGCTCTGCAGCTTGTCAGGAATGCTGGGCTCCAGGAAACTGCAGAGATCAAGCGCGAACACACCCGCTTGTCAGTTGGTCGCCGTGCGCGCGTGCGTGTGGCACGCAACACACGGCATGGGGCCAGGGAGAGGTAAGAGGAGGAGAGGTGGGTACGTGTAGGTGGCGATGGCGTTGAGGCCGGCAATGCGGACGGCGTGGGGCACGCCGAGTTCGTCCTTGCGGGGCGACGAGGACTTCTTGGCGTCGACCGTGGGGGCCACGTATTCGAGGAGGATGCCCAGCAGCTCGTCCCTCTGGCGCAGCACGTAGGGCGCGCCCAGGTGGGTCGGGTGCATGGCCTTACCGATCAGGTCCAACGCCTTGATCGCCACCTGTGTGTGTGAGCGAGAAAAAGAAAGAAATGAAAGAAGAAATAGTCAGAAGAATGATTGGCATGCGAGGTAGGTAGCAGCGGGAGGAATGTACGGTCTTGCGTTCGGGCGTCTTGACGGCGGGGAGGTGGAGCTTGATGTTGTTGAGGATGTGCACGTCGATGCGGGTGGTGATGAGAGACGGCGTGGCGTAGGCCGCGATGTATCCGAATGCCAGGAAACACGTGTCCACCGTACCCTTGGCCGCCGACTGTCACATACAAGTGTGGTGTGAGCACACGCGACACGCGACACGCAACACACGTGCGGCGCAGACAACGCACCTCCTGAGGCTTGGAGCCGCCCAGCAGACCGCTGAGGAAGCCGCCGGAGGACTCCTTCTTCTCGGGTCCGCTGAGGAATCCGTTGACCTTCTGGAGCACGATGTCCAGGTGCGACGCCGCGCAGTAGCCAAAGGCCTGCGCGCAGCCCTGTCGCTCGTTCTCGTTGCCGTGCTGTAATAAGAAGAAGAAGAAAACAATCAACAATTAGTGCGCGCCAAAACACGATGGAATGTGAGGCATGCTTCGCAAAGGAATTTGTGGGTGAGGAATGTTGGAGGAGGGGGGCAGACCTGGCAGATGGCGAACATGTCCTGGAGCTTGGTGTGGATGTAGTCCTTCTTGGTGAGCTTCTGCAGGACCAGGCCGAGCTGCTTGAAGCACGACCGCTTGAGCTCACTGTCGGTCGCGTAGACCGCCAGGTGCTTCGCGTAGTTGTCGCCCAACTGCAGCGTCCACTCCTCCGAGTCCACCACCTGCCCCCCCCAAAAACCACAACTCAGCATCCCGCACGACACGACACGCGCCTACTACACAATGTGGCACACACAACACGGTCGACACAAAATTGACCTTGATGGTTTCGGCGAGGAGGCGGAGGACGAGCTCGTCCCAGGAGTTGGAGTTCCAGCCTTCGGGCGACTCGGAGTTGGTCTGGAGGTACTGGGCGAGCTTGGGCACGGCGTGGTCCCACATGGGGGCGATGTTGGGGTGGAGGGCGGGGCCGAGCGCGAGCAGGGCCTGCAGGATGTGAAGGCCCAGCCGACCGCGGCGCAGCGGCACCGACAGCATCACCATCAACCGCGCAATGATCTCCGGCGGCTTCGGCAGATTCACCAATCGCTGTTACACACACAATCACACACGATATACACTGTATCAGCACCCAAATCACTCACACACACACACACACTGTGGGGCGATCAACGTACGTCAAAGTCGATGATGTAGTCGGGAGCCTGTGTGGAGCGCTTGAGGGCGGCGAGGTGCGCGACGCACTTGGCGAGGATGGCCATGGCGGGCGTGTTCTGCTGGGGCAGGAGCATCTCGAGCAGGAACGGCCACAGCACGTCGACCATGCACGGGATGGTGGTGGTGAGCAGGTTGAGCACGTTGTCGCACATGTTGCGCAGCTCCTCGGGCGAGTCCTCCTCCTCCTCGCCGGGCGTGGCCTTGGCCTTCTTGGCCGCCTGCGCGCGGTCCACCTTGGTCTCCGTGTCCGTCAGCGCGCACTGCGCCACAATGAACTCGATTGCCACGTGGCCGCCCTGCAGACGTGACGTGTGGCGATGTCATCACGACGTCAGCATGACATCACCACAGGTGGGGGGTGGTGTATGATGCGTGCCTCTTCGGCGAGGTAGTTGTGGCCGGCCATGGCGATGATGAGCTGGGCCAGCGTCTTCCGCACTTCAAGCGACGTCTCCGTGCGAGCGATGGGCTGAATGCCGGACACCACCAGGCCCCGCCTGTCCTCCAGTTGCGAACCCAAACGCGTAACCAAATGCTGTTGTTCACGCGACACACACGACACACACGACACACACGACGCACACGACGCACACGACACACTGTGCGTCAGCGTGTACGAAAGAGTGTAAAAAGCGGGCGCGTTACCTTGAGAATGAGCAGCGTGGCGGTTCGCTGCTTGACGGTCTTGGAGATGCGGATGTCGAGGCGACCGAGAAGGAAGGTGATGACGTCATCGGGGAACCGGCGGCCCATGATGTCGAAGCAGCGCATCAGCTCGTTGTGGTTCTTGATCGACGTGGGCTCGGCCTCGGGCGGCACGCACGCCAGAGCGTGCAGCGCCGTCAACAGGTTGTTGATGTGCGGATACAGCACCTGATGAGAACATAAAATATTCAATGCCAACAAATAAATAAAATATGAATTTATAATACGTAAATCTGAAACAATGACATCGTTTCAATAATATAAATCAAATCAAATAAAAGAAAAGTGTACCTGGGAGTCGTCGCGGATGGAGACGTCGAGGAGCTGGCAGAGGCCCATGGTGATGGGGAGGTGATTGGCGTCCCGCTTGTAGAGGGCCAGCATGGCCGTGAGGATGCGGGGCAGCTGCGTCTCGAACTGCTGCGGCGTGAGGATCGAGCACATGGAGCCCACGGCTTGGATCGTCGCCGCGCGGACCTGCAGGAGCGCCACGCAACATCAACATGACGTCAGCTGCGCCCTTAAGGACAAACAAAAAAACCATCTTCAGGGTACCTTGGACTCCTTGGAGGGCAGCCAGTTTGTGAAAATGATTTCGTAGGCCGGGAAGATCTCGCCCGAGAATCCCTGCACGGTGATCGACTTGTCCTGGGCCTGCACACGAGGAGTGCGTGTCAGCATGACGTCAGCAAGGCACCTTGATTGGCTGCAAACAGTTTTAACTGACCTGGCCGATGTCGGCGACGTAGGTGACGACGGCGTCGCAGAACTTCCACATGGAGGTGGCGAACACCCACTTCATGTTGTCCTGCTTGATCGACGCGAGCACCGGCAGCACGCGGGCCAGCACCACCTTCAGCTTGGGCACCGCCGCGATGGCTACACACACACACGACACACGTTACACGTCAGCACATTGCGGTAACACGTCAGCATGAGCTCAATGAGTGGCGGGTGGGAAGGAAGGGAATGTTACGATTGGAGGCGGTGAAATCGCCGAGGGTCTTCATGACGAAGTAGTGGGGCAGGGAGCCGGGCGCGAAGCGGGCCAGCAGCTGGTCCATCACCAGGTCCGGCCACCGCATGCCCGCCGACACCAGCACCGCCGACGCCGCTCCTTGCCACTCCGCCATCACCTCCTACGCGCGACCCGAGAGGGAGAATGAACTCGTTAAACGAGACACGAGACACACAACACGACACACGCACACATGACGCACGACACACACGACACACACGACATGCAGAAGCGTGGTTGGTGGGTGTGGGCACCTTCTCGCGGGTCATGTCGGACATGCAGAGCTCGATCATGGGCGCCGCGAGGTTGTCGTTGATGAGCTCGCGTCGGAGCGAGAGGACGCGCTCCATGATCTGCAGCAGGATGATGCGGTGCTTCTCTTCGCACTACAACCACCACCAAGAAGAAGAAGAAGTCAGAGTGATGATCGATTTGCTTACGTCAGCAACAAGTAGAGCAAGAGCAGCGCAGCGCAGAGCGTAGAAGAAGAACAGGCACGGACCTTGGCGTTGCGCTTGAGGAAGTCGAGGCACGCGCTGAGGACGAGGTTGGGCTGCTTGCGCCCGATATCGACCAGGGACTCGGTGATTTGACGCCGCACGACTGGCGCTCCGTCGTTGGCGTGCGAGCAGAGCGCGGCCACCATCTCTGTTGATTAGAGCAAATAATTTGGTTATAAAAAGGATGGATTAATAATAGCACTACTACATTCAAGTGTAATCCGTCGAGGAATGCAAGCATTTGTAATTGATCTCTTACAGCGTAAAAAATATAATAAACGGGGGAGGGGGCGGCACCGTCAACGAAGCCACCAGTCTTCATCAAGCAGGACGAAGTAGCGGCGGCCATCTTTGCTTCTTCTTGCAAGGCTTGCGAGGGAGTGAATCCAATCACACTTTATGTGCGATTATGTTTTAATGTGAATATTGAATGTCTTGCGGTGTTGGGCCTCGCCGCAAGATCCCTTCGATAGCGAAATGACGTTCGCCAATTCTCCCTCAATTTTCTTTACCTTTTTCTCTTTTCGCTTCTCTCTTTTCTCTTTTTTCTCATTCGACGACCTTGTCCCAGTAGCGGACGAGGTCGTACGTGGCGCCTTGGGTGCGGCCGTGGGCGCGGAGGTAGCGGAGGGCCGGGAGACGCAGGACCACGAAGAGCATGACCAGCACGAACGTGAGGATCGTGCCCACGTTGATGAGCAGCATCATCCACACGAGCGCCGCCACGTCCGGCTCGGGATCGAACATCTGGTAGTCTGTGAGTTCGCCAAACATTCATGAAGCCAGTTGAAGTGATCAGCAACTTATCATCATCACCATCACCATCATCATCTCAAGCAATGATGAAAAGGAAAGTGGCACGCGTACTGGGGATGAGATAGGTCCACTCCGACTGGGCGATGTAGGTCACCACCAGCACGAACAGCGAAATGATCTCCAACATCCAATCGAGCTTTTGTCTTTTGGGCGCACACACGGCACACAGCACACGCGACACACGCAACACACACAGAGCACACAGCATACGCATCAGAGCCAGACCGGCGCGTGGCCAATGGCAATTGGTCGGGGGGAGGAGGGGAGGGGCGTACCGGTAGGGCCGGAGGAGGAACACGCAGGAGATGGCGAGCAGGAGCACGGCGAAGAGGCCCGTCTCCCGGAACGGGGTGTCGGGCGGGAGGGCGAATATGAGGGCCGAGAGGGCGAATCGGCGAAGGAAGATCACCGCCTCGTACCTATGGCCAAGGTCGTAGCCACGTCAGCGGCCAGCCACCAGGGGCGACAGGGCGACAGGGCGAAGAAAGAGAGGGGCGAAAGAATATACCAGGTGTGCTGCTTGTAGCCCGAGTAGAAGAAGCCGATGGTGTACTGCACGTCGGGGTCGAACAGGGCCTTCTTACGGAGGAAGTGGAGGTAGAGGCCGGCGAACAGGGCCGGCACGCCGACGGCGTACACGACCAGGCCGGCGATGGCCACCGCCCGCAAGCGGTGCCACTCGTCCGACGAACACGACAGCCACGGCAGCGTGGCCACGTACGAGTCGCCCGTCTCCGCCTCTGTTCGTCATCGTAATCCCCATTAAACACCCAGCACGACACGCCGCACACACAACACAACACACACATCACCGCACACACATGTATGGCTGGTCGAGGTGGCACGCACCGGAGATACAGGGGAAGGCGAAGAAGGCCTTGTTGCAGACCTGGAAGTAGAAGAGCCAGAGGATGAAGAGGAACACGTTGACGCCCCACATGATCGGCCGCGTCACGCGGTCGGGGCAGCTGCCGACGGCCGCCCCCGTCGTCGACGACGACGACGATGACGACGAACGGTCGCCGTCATTTGTCGACATATGCGGCGCGTGCAACGTTTCGATCGAAGGGGGTGGGCGCTTCGATCGAAGAAGGCGGGCCGCGGTATAGCGCCAGCCGACCCAGACCGCGACCACCACGACCAGGAGGAGCGAGAGGGCCGGCACGATCAGGAGGTTGACGACGAGGTCGTTGAACGGGTCCGCGAGGGCCGGGAACAGACACTCGAGACCGAACTCGGTCGTCTGCGGGTCGAAGATGGACAGGAACCGCATCCCGTACTCCAACGTCCAGTGCGGCCACCTGGATGTCGAACACAGCACACACACGCGCGCGTGTGCGGTGGTGTGTTTGAGCGCGTGTGTTGCGTGTGCGGTGGTTTCGTGTGCGGTGTGGGGTGTGGGGTACCGATTGTTGAGAAGACTGCTGGCCTGCCAGTAGAGGATCAACAACCGCAGCTTGCCGCTCTCGTTGAGGATGTGCCCATCTGCAACGCGTCGTCGATGTCGAATGGAATGCTAAGCACGCAACCGTCGGTTGGAATGTGAACGGGGGGGGAGAACGCACGAATGTTGAAGCGCGACTGGGCAGCGGCGTCGGCTGAATCCGATTGGTCCGCGCCGATTGCCTTGTGACGCTCGGTCATCTTCCTCTTCCTCCTCCCCCTCTTCTTCGTTCTCTTCATTTTCTTCGCCAGCTCGAGTCGCACGCTGCTCGCCGATGACCTCGTAGCACTGCCCGTCGTCGCCCTGGCTCGCGTTCTCGAGCGCGGCCCTGCGCTGTTCGCGCTTGTAGAGCCACACGAGGGCGGCCACGACGGCTGCAAAGACCAGCAGTAGGGCGCCGCCCACGATCGTGCTACGCGCGACCCGCTCGCAGAGCATGCACTGGGACTTGTAGTTGAGGTAGTAGCAGTCGCGATACTGCAGCGCGACACCGACGACAAAGGATTAAACGAATTAGTTAATGAGCGCCCGGACACGACACGCACCGCACACCGCACACACACACGGACGAAACGCACCTGGTCGCAATGACACTTGGAGCAAAGGCGGCCGCTGCTTCCGAGTGAGCAGAGGTCGCAGCCGGGCGCGATGCCCTGGTTCCAGACGAACGAGCAGTTGCCGTGAGGATTGCACGCGTAGCTGCCCGCCGGGCATGCCTCGGCCGTCACCACCCGCAGCTCCTTACTGGGGTCTGTGCGGCACGTCTGTGAGCAAGCCTGCCGCACACGCAACACGCAACACGTCGAGTGGAGCGTACTGTCGGAGGAGATGATGGGGTAGTAGCCGACGGGCCACGTCAGCACGTTGCCTCCTTGGTCGCATTGGCAGTTGGTCGGGCAGCCCTCGCAGTCGCTGGGCGGCTTGCCTGTGATTGGAACGAAGATAAAAGTTAAAAAGAAATGAACCCAACAGATTTTCTTAAACCCACCACCCAATCGGAGACGCACCGTGGTACCCGCGGGAGCAGCTGCAGTGGTGGTAATCAAAGTACTCCGGCGACACCTCCACCGCCAACAAGCCGCCCTAATAGGATAACGGACAATATATACACATTTTAAGAAAATGTTGATCAAGATGTAGCTGCTACATATTAATAGACAAATCCATACCTGCGCAACGATCACCGATTTGCAGTAGTACTTGCGGCGGTCCTTGAGAGTGAGCTCGGAGTCCAGCAGGGCCAGGTAGGGCGGTACCGGCGCCCCCTTCCCTTGCGCCACCTGACGCAACGCAACGCAACCACGACAGGGGCGAACGTCAAAAACAGAAAACAAAACAAAAAAAGAGTGTGTTGGATGGGGGCATTACCATGCGGGGGTTGTTGGCGAAGGAGATGTAGGACATGGAGCCGCCTCTGACCAATTCGGCAATGCGCGCTGGAATGTAGCCCGAGAAACTGAGAGTGGGACACCACATTTGGTGTCAATTTCGTTCTCGCACAAACACAACACAACACAACACAACACAACACAACACAACACAACACAACGCGGTAGATTGATCCGATGAGCGTACTTGTTGTGGGCCACGTCGATCGCCGACATGATCCGGGTATAGGGCACGAAGTTGTTGTCATCTGCGCTCATCACGCGACCGGGGGGGGGGGTGAGAGTCCCGAAGGTGAAGTGTTGTTTGACAATTTTGGGGAGTGGAGGGCGTCACACCGAAGGCGTCGCTGAACTGGTTGTGATCGAGTGAGACCTGGACCAGGTAGTTGAGGTACTGTATGTCCTGGGGAAACTTGCCTGGTGGCACCACGAATATGATCGTGGTGTGATTATCGAAACAGTACACACACACCACACATCACACCATACACCACACACACACACACACACACACACACACACACACACACACACACACACACACACACACACACACCACATTTCTACTGGTGGTGGAGAGCCACGTGTATGTATGATTTGTATGTATACCTTGCAGGCGATTGGACGACAGCACGAGCTTGGTGAGGTTCGTGGCGCCGTAGAGCTTGGGCAGGGAGCCGTTGATCAGGTTGCTGGCCAGAATGAGGAACTCCAGCGATGGAATGCGAAACAGGGACTCGGGCAGGGGTCCCGTCAGCAGATTCGACGACAGGTCCTGTGTTGTTGTGTGTGTCGTGTGTGTCGTGCGTGTCGCGTGGGTCGTGTGTGTCGTGCGTGTCGTGTGTGTCGTGTGTGTGCGTCAGTGAGAGAAAGAGAAACTGGGCTTCGTTAGTCGTACCAGACGAATCAGCTGCTTGGAGATGTTGAAGCAGTCGGGAACGGGGCCGGTGAGGTGGTTGTTGCTCATACGCAGCTGCGCGAGGGCGGCGACGTGGCACAGCGAAGACGGCACCGGGCCTTCCAATTCGTTGCGGTCCAGGTCGAGCGACTCCAGAACCGCGCCGAGCGCGTCGAAGCGCACCGCCTCGAGCGAGCCGCGCAGGTTGTTGCGCTGCAGCGCGATGGAGATCAACGTTGCGTTGCCCGACCTGCGACGGCGCCGCCACACCAAACCCGCCGTAGTCAGCCAACTCCGACTTCATCACCGTCGTCTTCGTTCTTTCTTCTGTCAAAGAACGAAAGCGAAGCGAAGTGAGAGTGGAGGGAGGGTTACGGGGCCGGCCGGCAGGTGATGCCGAGCCACTGGCAGTAGTCGGCGCTGGCCGGGTCGAGCCAGCAACCGCTGCCGTTGTTGTTGTTCTGTTGTGGCGCGCAGCGGTGGTACCACCGGGGACCGCCGGTGGCGTTGTAGAACTCGGCCAGCACGGTACGCACCACATCGCCCTCTTCGCCGAGTTGTGCGGCCACACCAGCTTCACTCCCGCCCGGCACGGCTGTGGCTACAAACACCGCGCAGGGGCGAAGAGTGTTAGGTTTTTTTTGAGTGTGGTACGGGTGTACCTCCGACAACGGCCAGAAAGGCGATGGTCACGATCGACAACAGGACCCACGAACTGCGCGGCCCAGACGCTCGTCCGGCGTCGTCTTTCATCTTCGCGTCTTTGCCCCGACAGCGAAACACCGAGCCACCAACAATATAAAAACGAAGAAACGGAAAAAGAAATACCCACCGAGAGAAAAAACAGAATATTAGTTTTTCGCTATTTTCTTCCACAACTTCTTCAGTACCACGCACAGATGACTTCACACGATGTACACTTCCTCTCTCTGCTCTTCTGGGACCTCTCGCTCTCGCTATCATGAGACCACACTGCGTTGCTGATCACTCGTTGATTCGTGAATGGATGGAAAAACCAATCAAAACCAACAACAGTTTCAGGAGCTGAAGAGCAGTTCGACGAGAACGGCTACGCCGTGCTGCCGGGCTTCGTGCGCCCGAGGAGGTGGCCACCCTCAAGGGCCGCATCGAACACCTCATCAAGGAGTTCGAGGCCACCGAAGAGTTCACCATCTTTTCCACCAAGGAGCAACCCGTACGCTCTACACCTCCACCACTTCCCCTTCAAGCCACCCCTTCCCTCCAACACTCTGTGCGTGTTGTATGTGTCGTGTGTCGTGTCGTGCGGTGTGTGTCGTGCGGTGTGTGTCGTGCGGTGGTTGGTGTCTGCATACAGACGAAGACGAACAAGTACTTCCTGGACAGCGGGGACAAGATCCGGTTCTTCTTCGAGGAGAACGCCTTCACCGCAGAGGGCGAGCTCAAGCAGGAGAAGAAGCTCTCCATCAACAAGATCGCCCACGGTACCGCACACACCGCACGCACAGCACACCACACGCACGACACGCACCACCGCACACGCGCATTTGCTGATGTTCGGTTGACTTGTGAGCGCAGCGCTGCACGACGAGGACCCCGAGTTCAGCAAGTTCTCGCGCAAGCCCGAGATGGAGAAGGTGGCGCGCGAGCTCATCGGTTTCCAGAACCCGCTCCTCATCCAGTCCATGTACATCTTCAAGCAGCCCCGCATCGGCGGCGAAGGTAACACACACGACACACGACACACGACACACGACACACGACACACGACACACGACACACGGCACACGGCACACGGCACACGGCACACGGCACACGGCACACGGCACACGGCACACGGCACACGGCACACGGCACACGGCACACGACACACATGCACAGAGGGTTAATGTGTGCGTGACGACGATGGTGGTGATGATGGTGATGTGCAGTGTCGCCGCACCAGGACAGCACGTTCCTCTACACGGAGCCGCTCTCGTGCGTCGCCTTCTGGTTCGCCTTCGAGGAGGCCACCCGCGACAATGGCTGCCTCTGGGTCATCCCCGGCTCCCACAAGCACGGCATCAAGCGCAGGTCGGCGACCCCCCCTCGCCGCGTGTGTCGTGTCGTGTCGTGTGCGGTCGAGCCAACGAACGCGCGCGTGATCACAGGTTCGTGAGGGAGGGCGACGGGGTGACGTTCAAGCCGCCCAAGGGAGACGACCCCGAGTGGGCCGACCCGACCCAGTTCGTCCCCGTCGAGGTGCCCGCCGGTACGTCCACTCTCTTTCGCCTCAATGATTCCATTAATCCTACTAACAACCAACCAACCAACCAACCAACCAACCAACCAACCAACCAACCAACCAACCAACCAACCAACCAACCAACAATTACTTAATGATCAACAGGAACGCTGGTGCTGATGCACGGCAGTCTGGTGCACATGTCGTACGAGAACAAGTCCGACCAGTCGCGTCAGGCCTACACTCTGCACATCGTCGAAGGCCCGCCCCACGCCACCTACCCCGCCGACAACTGGTACAGCAGCTTTTTATTATCATTAATCCTTTACAACACCCCCCCCCCAACCAATCGACGTGCTCTGTTCGCTGACGCGATTGGCTGCTGTTTTGTGTTGCGTGCAGGCTGCAGCGACCCGCCAACCCGCCCAGGGGCTTCTAAGAAGGGACCCTTCCAACAAGTGCAGGCCGGCTGCACCAACAAACTTTGAACAACCGACTACCAATAAACCAGAGGGGATTGGAGCATATGTGGGTCTACAATGTTGCAATATATCAACAACGCGGTTGTTGGCCATCATCAGAGGTGGTGTTTTTATAAGCTGCATGCATGAAATTAAATGGAGATCTCGTCCGAATTCGGCCTGGCAAGCCAATGGCTGTCTGTTGGGCATTCCGGAACCGATAGCTGGGCCAACCGAAGTGCAGCAGCGGCCTTCTCCAGGCAACACACCAGAAGCAGCAGCCAGAAAGAAGAAAGAAGCGGCTGCGGGGCTCTGCCGCCCGTCTTGTCTTCTTCACACAAATCCCCCGTGTCCAGCAATGGTGCCCTACTCCCCTTGCTTCCTTCTCCTCATGGTGCTGCCGGCGCTACTACTCGGCCTCGCAGGTGCTCAACCGTCTATTTATTTTTTATTATTTTTGCCCCCGCAAGTTATCATTTTTTCTAAATAATATTGTTTTATTTATTCCTGTATTTATAATTAATTTATATCGTAGGGGCCAGCCAGCGGTGCTCGTTTCACGGCGTGACGGTGGTGCCGCTGGACGGCGGCGGCAGCGGCAGCGGCGGAGGTCTGACGGCAGATGATGTGCGGGCGCACGTGGAGGAGAAGGTGGAGTGGGTCGACCCCCAGAAGCAGCCCTGGTCCTGCGTCGACGGCCGCGCCACCCAGCCCGGCCTCACCACCCCCGCCGGCGACTCCGGCGAGTTCATCCTCGGCCTCGTCGCGTACGTGTCGTGTCGTGTCGTGTCGTGTCGTGTCTCATGCGAGTGTGTGCGCACACAGGTACGAGGAGCGGCTGCTGGCGGTGATGCCGCGCGCGGGCCACCTGACCGAGCACGACGTGACGGCCCTGTTCGAGGACTTCGTCCGCACCATCCCCTACTCCCGCCGCTTCTACATGCACACCGACGAGGTGAAGCCCCTACGCCCCCCACGTAGCTCTGGCGAAAGTACGACACTCACCGGATGTGCGGTCATGCGTGTGTCGTGTCGCGTGGTGTGTGTCGTGTCGCCCGTCGTGCGTGGTGTAGCACGCGGTGGAGCGGTTGCGGGAGGCGACGGGGGACGACGGGTTCGATCCGGCGCGCAAGCCGGCGCAGGAGGACCAGGCGCAGCTGCTGGAGCTGCTCGCCGACCCGGCCTACCTCGGCTGCGGCCACCTGCGGCTCCTCATCCAGCACCCCGACCAGTACCGCGTGCGCCCGCAGCTCACCCAGTGGTTCATCAGTACATACCCTTCAGTCATCATCGTCATCGTCACCATCATCGTCACCTTCATCCACATCGTCGTGATCATGACTAACGTGTGTGTGTGAGCAGAGGCGTTCTTTGATTTCATGTGGAACCACGAGCACGGCGGCAAGTTGCACCACCACACGTCCATCGCCCTCGTCGAACTGGAGGGCAGCCACGTGTGCGCCACCCCTCCTCTCGCGTGTGTCTCACGCGGCACGCGCCGCGCGTTGCGTTTCGCGCACAGCACTCACACAACACACACACGCCCATCACTCCACTGTTTGTCCACACGAACAGGGGAGCAGGCCGTGGTCGTGATCGACACCGACAAGTCGCACCTGGCCCCGGGCCGACGTGGTACCACGACCCCTCCTCCTCACCTCGACGTGGGCGTGTGATCAGTGCAGAGCTGCGGCGGCCTGACCGGGGAGTTTGTTGTTGTGCGCGTGCGGGCGCGTGTGCGCGCGTAGTGCATGGGGCTGGCGCCGATGATTCCGGGCATCGACGACCTCAACTCGTTCTTCACCGACCACGCCTCCTTCGTGTCCCTCGGCATCCGCGGCGAGGTAGCCCTACCTACGCTCTCTCTCTCTCTCTCCTTCACCACTGCTCTCGAGTCCATTGAGCACACCTGGCATCGTTCGTGGTGGTGACAACAAAGGTGGCCCGCTTCTTCGCCGGAAAGCTGGACGAGCAGTCCATCGGCCTTTCCGACGCGCCCATCATGGTACCCACACCTCGCCCCCCCCCCCATTGTTAAAACACGCACGCACGGCATTGGTCGGGTCGTTGTTGAGAGAGAGAGTGGTTGGTCACGGTGTGGTTGGACAGACGCCGGGCACGACCCTGCACGCGGACAAGAACTACGCCCAGCTGCTCGGCCGCGTACGCTCGCCCTCGCCATCCACTGTGAGACCTCTCGAGCGCGGCGTTGGCGCCTTAGCTAACCTCTCCGAAACGTTTCGGCGTCGTCGTCGTCGTCGTGTGATCAGATGACCGAGCTGGGCAACATCCAGCTGGGCCTGACGGTGGGCTATCTGGCCAAGGGCGAGCCGCAGTACGCGGTCAACATCGTCGTCGACCGTGAGCGGAAAATGGGCATGATCATAGGTACGTACCCTCTTTGGCCTTCTCCTTGATCAACGAGTTGTGAGTAGTGTTGACCCTCGAGGGGGTCGTCATCGTAGGGAGCCTGGTGAGCATCGCGGCATGGGTGGTGGCCCTCGCGGCCATGATCCTCTTCGGCCGAAGAGCCCTCCGAGAAGAAGAGCGCAATGCGCACAACCTCGTGTGAGCATTTTTTTTTTTAATATAAAATATTGTAATTCAAATTTTAACAAGTAGGCACAACTCACAACTCTCATTGTCGTGAGCTGCAGCTTCTGGTGTGCGCACCTCGGTCCGTTAACCACTCGCGCTTTTAAACGAGACTTTTATTAGTCGGATTCGGGCCAATGGCTCACCTCCCACACCCACACACCCCGCTCGTCCGTGGCCACATACACACGCCGCTCCACTTCGTCCACGGCCACGCCGGTGAACAGCACGACCTCCTCTACGTAGTAAAGGCAACACATCGGAAACTTGAGGACTCCATCAAGTCCCTTCACAAGTGCAAACATCGCCACGGCCTGGAAACCCTCCTCTGTCTCTCCGGTTACGAGAACGTGGCCGGTTGAGAGGAGGGCCAGGCGGCATGGCTTCCGAAGACTGCCGGTGTCACATGAACTCAGCAGCTGCAGGCTCTGTTCGTGGAAGACGTGCACACATCCGGCCTCTTCATCGGCGACGACAATCATTCCTCTGCCTACAGCCACGTCAGTTGGGGACTTGAACGTTGCGCCATCAAGCTTGATGATGTCATCGTAGAACGGCTCCATCGCATCGCGTGTCGAGAAAACCTTGACCGCGCGGCCGCCCGTGTCAGCCAGGAAGATGCGTCCACCCGAATTCGCAACCCCGGATGAACCGCACAGTCCGTGGAGAGGTGGTGTGAAGATCATTTTTGGAGTGCTCTCGGGAATGATTCCAAGTGGCGCAGAAAGGTCGTAGGACTGCACCACCCGGTCGCTTGCCTCAGATACGATGAGGCGGCCGTTGGAAGCCCTTACGCTCGTGAAAGTCCCCGTAGGACCTTCAAGTGGGCGTAGCGTGGAATCATTGACGGAACAGATGGAGAGATTGAGATGATGGACCGCGTGGGCTACGAAGACAGTGCCTCGGTCCACTGACAGGCCTGCGATCGGAGCCTCTGCCGTGATGACGCGGACAAGTGTTGGTGGCAAGTTGTTCTCTTGGAGATCGCTCGTCCTGGCCTCCATTGTTGGGAGTCGAGTCGATCGGTAGAAAAGTTGCGGGTAAGAGTTGTGGGTGGCGTGTAGATGTTGAGGCTAAGAAGGGCGCCTGCCGGCAGCTTTTTATAAAAAGCGCTCCGAACGGAGAAAACCTACGGCCAATCAGCATCTGGATGTCGACACCAACGTCCAGTTATTACCGAGAAAAAAGCACATTCTCAACCACCATGGTGGCCCCCCCTCCCATTGGTTGACTCCCAATTCTCGTACTTTGTCTTGTCTTTCCCAACTGCCGTTCCCGAATTTCCTGAAGGCAAGGGCCGGATTGGCTGACCAAGCGCCCAGGTTTTTGTGGGAAACATCGGCTTGTTGCAGGGGCGAAACCAAAATTCTTCAAATTTTTGGTGGGCTGAGCGCAAAAGCCAGCCACAGTGTAGGGGCACGCGGCTTGGTTGTTCTTCCCTTCAGGAAAGTCAATATTACCTGTGGTGATTATATTTGTTGTTTATTTGTTGGCATTTAGTCTATTTTGTTGATCGTTCAGTCTTCAGAAGGCGGTGGGTGACGACGAGGCCACGGCGAGGCCGATGTTGAGGAGCAGCTTGTGGAGGAGCGGGGCGAGCGGACCCTGGTGGGGCGCGAGGAGCATGGCCTGGACCACGAGGCCGTCGTACACGCGCAGGGCGTCGCAGCAGGCCGGGTCATCGGCCAGCTTGCTCAGCACCAGGCCCGCCTGCTTCCGCAACCGCTCCCGCACACGCTCCACCACATCGCCCGCGTAGCCGTCATCGCCCTCGTCCCGCCGCTTCCGCTTGTTGCCGCCGCCGACGCGATGGCGGGCCGCTGTGCTGCTGGCAGTGGCGGTGGCTGTGCCCACAGCTGCCGGCTTCTCTTCTTCGTCCTTTTCCTCGCCATTCGCGGCAGCCGAGGGTGGCGTCGCCTTCTCGCTTCCGGCTTCGTTTTCGTTTTCGTTCTTTTTCGTCGTTTCCTGGTCCACCTCCATCGCCGCGTCGGCTACAGCCGTCGTCCCGTCTACTGGCGCCACCTCGCCGGCTGTCGCAGAAGTTGAAGTCGCGGTCGGCGCAGCTTCGCTCTTTTCCCCACCCACCACGCCCGCGTCGTCGACCTTATGTCGCTTGGCCGCTCGCTTTTCCTTCTTCGTCGTCGTCATCTTCTTGATCCTCGTCTTCCTCGCCGCCTTCGCCCACCACCGACTTCAGGAAAGCCTTCACCGCCTCCTCTTCCTCCTCCCCCTTCCGCTTGAGCGTCGCCGACGCGTCATCCGCCTCAACGTCGGCCTCCTCCCGCTCCTCTTCCTCCTCCTCTTCCTCCTCTTCCCGTTCCTCCTCATCGTCGGCCTCGCCGTCTTCGTTTTCGTTTTCGTTCTCGTTATCATTTTCACCGGGCTCAACGTTATGGCTGCTGCTGGGGGTGGCGACGAGGCCGAAGAGGCGGCGCATGAGGCCCGGGTGCGCGGGGAGCCGGCACGCGGTGCGGGGCGAGCACTTGGCTAGGTTGAGCAGCACGGCCAGCACCGCGCCCTTAAGCTCGGCCACCTCGCTCTCCCGCTCGCCCGCCCGCCGCCGGCGCTCGCCTCCGTCGCCCTTCGCCCGCTCGTCGTCGCCCTCGCCCTCGCCCGCCTCGTCGTCATCGCTGCCGTCGCGCGCGCAGAGGAGGCGGGCGAGTGCGTCGAGGAGCGCGTCGGTAAAGGGCAGGAGGCGCGCCTCGTTGTCGCCCTCGTGCGTGAGCTTGCGCAGGCACTCGACCGCCGTCCACACCGTCTCGTCCACTTCGCCCGCCGCCGCCGCCGCAGCTGACGTCGCGCCCGCCCCAGCGCTGTCGACAAAGTAGAGGAGCGCCGGCGCGGCGCGTGCGACCGTGGCCGACCCGGCCAGCGCCGGGTGGTGGCACACGCTCGAGTACACATCGAGCGCATTCCGGCTCAGCCGCTCGACCCACTCGCGCTTGACCGACGTCGGCCGGCGGCGCTGACGACGCTGGCGCTGGTCGAGGCGGCGCTCGAGGTTCATGAGGCGGACGACGGTGCGGACAAAGCGGCGGTGGTCGGCCAGCGCGGCCTCGTTCTCGGGGATGCAGGAGAGGTTGCGCACGATCTCCCACACCTTGACCCCGCGCTGCCGTTCCGCTTTGGTGGGCACGGCCAGTGGCGCCACGTCATCATTGCCCTCCCCGTCGTCGCTTTCGCTTTCGCTCTCTTCGCTCTCTTCGCTCCCTTCGTCTTCGCTGTCGTCGTCGCTTTCGCTTTCGCTTTCGTTCTTGTCGTCGGCGCCGAGGGCACGGAGGAGGAAGGAGTGGTAGGGCCGGGCGTGGCGGAGGAGCGAGTCGAGAAGGCCTGTGAGCGGGATGGCGCTGAGGTGCAACTGCTCCTCGAACGACAGCACCAGCAGCGTGCCCAGCGCCCAGTCCACCTGCGCCTGCACGACGCGTGCGGAACACAAAGTCAGCCTTCGTACGAGTGTGTGTGCGCGCGTTGCAAGCGTACGCTGGGCGTGGACTCGGATTCGAGTGCGAGGGCGACGAGCCGCAGGGCCGGATGGTACGAGGCCCACGCCCCCTTCAGCTGACTGCTCGCCTTTGGGATCGCCGTGCGAGTGTAGTCTGTTTTACACGGCACGCCCCGACACACACACACACACACACACACACACACACACACACACACACACACACACACACACACACACACACACCACAATCAGAAATGCAGGGCCGGCTGGCAGGAGGCTGGGTGGGAGGAATTGGTGCCTTGGGGCATGATGTCCTGTGCGGAGCGGAGGGTGAGAGCCGAGCGGGTGGTGATGCCGCCGGCGTTGGCCGAGCCGCTGGCGACGGAGGCGAACGAGGCCGCGGACACGCCAACGGGTCCGGTGATGCCCCGCTCGCCAGCGATGGCGGCCGACGTGCGCGCCGCCGCCTCGCTGGCCGCACGGCGCGTGGAGCGACGCGTGCCCGGGCCGTAGGCCGGCGCGATCGGCTCGCGCACCTTCCCCTCGTCTCGCCTGTCGACACGACACACGCAATGAGTGTGAGAATGTGAGGAATGCAACGTGCACAAGCGCGCGTGCGTACAGCATTCGTTCTTCCTTGCGTGGCCGACCAACAGGTCGCTTCGGCACCATGGCGTCGTCATCGAGGTTGTGGAAAAACCTTCGCTCGTAGGCAAACAGGTATTTCTGGTCTCGCACACACGCAACACGCACACATGCAACACACGCGCAACACACGACCCCCACCACCGCACACGCACCGGTTAGGGAGAAGCCAGGGAGAAGTGGTGGGCGGAGGGGAGCGGTACGAGGTAGTGGACGCGTAGGGCAAAGCCGGCGTTGGTGCAGGTCGGGGGGAAGTGGAAGGCGGCGGCCACCTCCTTCATGCCCTTGTTGGACACCACCTCGTTGAGCCCGCCCCGCTTGGTGACTTCGTGGTAGAGCTTGAACAGATCGACCTCGCGTTGGCCCAGCTGCGGTATACGGTCGATCGGCGTACTGCGCGCAACGATTAAATTCCAAATGAAGTAAATTTCTGGCTCTGGGGAAAATGGTTGCGCACCCTCGCTTCTCCATGTAGTCCTTCAACTTGGCCAAGAAGGCCTTCCGCTCTGCCTGGTCCTCATCCCCTTCCATTTTCTTTAATTAAGCCGGTTTTTTGTTTTATATTCATTTTCTTTTGATATTTTTCCTTTTGCAGCGCCACGTCACGCGTCCAACGGACAAAAATCGGAAAAAAGTGGTCGGATAAAGCCGGGAAGTTACCGGCGGCAGCGGGAGGGTGCGGGAGGTGTGGTTGTTTGGTTGTTCTGCCGTCGTAGAAGAAGAATCGTCGATTAATTAAGATGTCGTACGCCCCCGCTAAGCCCGTCTCCGTCCCCGTCGTGGTCGTCCCCACCGTTGTGAGGCCTGCCGCCCCGCTCTACTCGAACCTCGGCAAGGGCGCCAAGGATCTGCTCAGCAAGGGCTTCCCCTCCACCTACAAGGTCGAGGTGACCACCAGCGCTGAGAACGGCGTCCAGTTCGTCTCCTCCGCCGAGAAGAAGCAGGCCAACAAGACCGATGTCGTCGTGGGCACCTTCCAGCCCAAGTACAAGCTCGCCTCGCGCGGCCTTGAGCTCACCGGCACCTTCGATACCGACAACCAGATCAAGGCCGAGCTCGCCCTCGATAACCTCTTCGTGCCCGGCGTGAAGGGTACCTTCAAGGCCCAGACCGGCGCCAGCCACGATCTCGAGGCTGCCTTCGAGTACAAGCACGAGGTCGGTACCTTCACCTCGACCTTCGTCCACAACCCCACCACCGCCAAGACCCTCCTCTCGGCCACCGCCACCGTCTCGCGCCAGTCGGTCACCGCTGGTGTGGAGAGCAAGTACAGCCTCGCCCCCGCCCAGCCCGGCACCCTCACCACCGTCACTGGTGCCCTCAACTACAAGGCCGCTACCCACGATCTTACCGCCTTCGTGTACGTGCGATCTAGATCCCCCATCTGCGCATTTTTCCTTTAATTCGTCGGATCATTTTTCTCATTTCCTCCGATTTGAGAACAAATGGACCCGGATCAAGATGGAGTCACTGACCATTTGTTCTCGCTGCGCGCGCTACAGTAAGAGCGATGCCGGCAGCGTGACCGATGGCGGCGATGCCCCCAGGCTCTACTCGCTCGGTGCTCACCTGCACTACACCCCCTCGAAGGAGAGCAGCTTCGCCTCCTCGCTCGACTACGACCTCCAGAAGAACACCATCAAGGTGACCATCGGCGGCTCGCAGAAGCTCGATGCCCGCACTGAGACCAAGGCCAAGTTCTCCTCTGATGGTCGTCTCGGCCTCGGTGTCGCCCAGCAGCTCACCCCCGCCGTCAAGGCCACCCTCGGCACTGAGCTCAACACCTTCGACCTTGCTGGTTCCACCCCCAAGTTCGGCGTCCACTTCGAGGTCAGGGCTTAAGTTTCCGTTGTCGCTTCTTCATCTAATTAGCAAATCACACATTTGCGCAATCTTCCCCCCCCCCCGAGTATCATACACCCAATAAATGTCTACGCATTCTGGGATAATCCATTTCCTCGTCCACGCAGTTGCCTTTGTTTTTATTTATTTTCTGCACTTAGAGTGGTTTTTATTTATTATTTATTTAATGATTTATTATTATTTCTCCTCATTCATCCCTGTTGGGCCGCACGAGCCAGCAGGGTGTTTACCCTTTGACTGTCGGGGTGGTTTGCAGGCTGGTTGCACAACGTTTCTAACGCCGAGAGTGATCCCGGCCGAACTCCGTCGTGGGCGATAAGAGTTGGCCCACCCGCTCCCGTTATCTTCTTCGCTCTTCACCCGACCACACCAACAACCAACCTGCTCCTCGGCAATGGCAAACCTCCTTCGTAGTCCTGCACTCTTGTTGTTGGTGGCGCTCCTGAGCTTCATCGCCTCTTCCGCCCTCGTCTCGGGCGCCACACGTACCAACCCCAACCCCAACACGTTGATGCACCCCTCATCTTGGCCTCTTTCTTATCTTTTTGCACTATCAACAGTCGATGTGTGCCCGAGCCCCGGGGCCTGCGCCTATTCGTCGGTCACCGCGGCTCTGCTGGCGGCCAGGGGCGGCGACGTGGTCCACGTCCAGAAGGGCAACTACGCCAACGAGGCCACCACCAACGTGATCGTGACCTCCGACATCACCCTCAGGCACCACCACGCCGCCCTCGACAGATCTCGAACATTCACACCATCTAACATCTTACATTGTCGCTTCTTGACGGTGGTCACTACAACAGCGGCGACCAGGGCGCTGTGATCTCGCTCTCGTTCGTCTACCCGACCAACCAGTGGCTGACCATCAATGGCACCCTCACGCTGGTGGGCGATCTCACGCTGGTCGTGAACGCGGGCACCTGGCCGAACAACGGTACCACGCGATGTCCCCCCACCCCTGCTTGCGACCGAGATCTTACCTAACACAATTGCGCGTTGCGATGCAACAGTCATCCTGGTGCCTACCGGCGGACAGCTCGTCCAGAAGGGCAACCTCAACTTTGTGGGCGGCAATGGTTCATCAATCAATCCCCAACATTTCTCACATGCCACGACGCAATGTAGCACAGAATGTGCTGATCTGGTCGACAATGTTGTGTTGCTATTCCTCAGCGCGCTATGCCGGTTCGGGCATCACCGTGCAGGGAGTCTACAAGCAGACCGGAAACCTCAAGGCCGTGTCCACAGGCGCCACGGCCTTTGGAGGTTTGTCGCCCCCCCCCCCCTTTCTCTTTCTTCTCCACTTCTAATGCAACGCCACACAAACTCAACGCTAATTTATTGTCATCGACCCCAGCCGTCGTCCAGCTCGACCAGGGCACCTGGCTGCAGGACACCGGAGCCAGCGTTGACATGCAACTTAGCCTGAGCAATGGTACGTTCGCCCAAACAACTACATCTTTCACATAACATTCTCCAACCAACCAACCACAATCACAATCGACCACCGATGGCAGGCGTGTCTTTCACGAACGGCGGCTCGTGGCTTCAGAAGGGCGACATCAACATGAAGCTCGATCAGAGCTCGAATGGTACGTTTGCTGGGTGACTGTGTGGGTCCAAACGTGTGACTCACGGCCATCCCGTCACATCTCAACGCAACAACAACAGGCGTTGCTTGTCTTGTGAAGCCCAACAAGGTCTGGGTGCAACAGGGACGCGTCAGCATGACCACCTCCAACTTCAGCGTCGGTACGTGTGTGCGTGTGCGGTGGTGCGTGTGTGCGTGCCGCTTCTCACTTTTGATCAATGTGATGTGCGCAGGCATCTCGCTCAACACAGGCAAGTGGCAGGGCTTTGGCGACATCAACATGAACGTGCTGGACTCTGGAAGCGACAGTACGACTACTGGCCGCCCACGCCTCTAACCACTTTCATGCGCCGCAAAGAGGCTTTCCTACACTTACCCTCTCACCCTCTGATGACCACGTCCAGGCATCAGTTGCTACAATCCCACCGTGGATGTGGTCGGTCGCGTGCTGGTCCAGAAGAACAATGCCTGCTACACCCTGCTGGGTACTTCACATCACATCACATCACTTCTGAAGTGTGCATCGTGGCTGATGATGGTAGCTCACCTTTCTTTCCTCCAATTATTACCACAGTTCCGGCCCGATGCGCCCTCAAGCCCACGTTCTGCCCAGCATAACACCAAACAATGTTGGCCATGTTTTGTTGCCTACAGCAATTGTTGCAGTAATTTGCCACCACTACACCCATTGGCTCTTCCGTCGTCACTTCACTTGGTGGTCTGTTCTGTGGGGCTGGGTTCCGTGGCTTGTGCCTCCTCGTTCTTGGTGGTCGTGATCTTGGATCCCTAGCAACCAACAGAAAAATACTGTCGAAAGTCAACAAAAAATCAAGCTCGACCCCAGGTCATGCATGTGCCAACGTGAACGTGTGTGGGTTGGGTTATGGGAAGGCGCAGCGTGTGTTGTCCGCCATCTGCAGGCGTTCAAGCACAACAACGCACATGCCGCGGCCACGATCAACCCAACGGAGGAGAACGAGGGAAAGGCGGGCGCGGCTCGGTTTGAATTCGACCCAAAGGACTGGGCAAGAGCCGGAGCTCGCCTGTTGCCTGTACGACACGGCAGAAGCATGACGAAGTGGTGGTTGTGTTGGTGGCCGGGTTGACCTTGAAGTGGACCAAGACTTCGCCCAGAAGGGCTTGGTTGCTTTGGGTAGCCCAGAATGTTGAGCTAGGCTGCCCAACCACAGAACCGAGCTCCAATAATTAATTAAAAAACAAAAAGGAAATCCGTAAACGCCACTGGCCAGGACTTTACACCAGGAGTCACAACAAAACAAGAAACCCACCACCACATGGTATTTCTCTCCGCGGAAGAAGACGAAAGAAGCCAACCCACAACCCAGTCTTTGTTTTGCGTGTCTCGACCACCATCACCGCTTCTTCACAAGCCCCCCTCGCACCTCTCCACTTCTTCATTCCCTTCCTTTCCGTGTTTCGTTTGGTTCGACGTTGACGTCAACATCAGCAAGAACATCGTAAAAGGAAGAGGAAGCACAACACCATCGCCACCACCTAGAAGAAGGGAGAAGAGAAGAGAAGAGAGAACACGCAACACACATCATGGCCCTCGTCAACGCCCTACTCAAGACCAAGGAGAGACACACCCACCGCCAATGGATCCTCAACTGGTACGCCAACCCTCGGCCCCGCCCCCCCTCGCCCCCCCATCTCGTGGGCTTGACGCTGTGGGTGTACTTCGCGCCGGTTGTCTTAGTGGTCGACACTTTTTATTTTTCCTCGCCTCCGATTGGCCACGCCGTTTCGTTCTGCGGACTTTCGTTTTTTTTTTGACACACACGTCAAACATCAGCCAACTATTGACACCCACCACGCCTAGCAACCCACCACTTCGCTTCCGTGGGCCTCGTCACTCACCACTTGATGATGGATCCATCTTTCATCTTTCATCTTCTACTTTTTCCATCTTTTTCTCTACTTCTCCAGGTTGGAGGACAACTACGAGTGTAAGAAGGGCGCGACGATCTGCAAGGCGGCCGTGTTCACAGACTACGCCGAGGTGTGCCGCCTGCAGTCCCTCAAGCCCGTGACCAACTCGCTCTTCGGGAAGCTGGTCAAGGCCGTCTTCCCGGCCATCCGCACCTGCCGCAAGGGCCCGCGCTCCGACTCGCGCACCCACTACGCCGGCCTCCACCGCCGACGCGACACCATCTCCCTCCCGCGCGTCTGCCCCGAGACCGGCGAGCTCCTCCCGCCGCCGCTCAACGACGAAGGCCACGCCATCATCGACTCCTTCATCCCTGCGCCCTCGTCTGCCACGTCATCCATGTCGTCTTCGGCCATTCCCGCCCTGCATTACTCGAATTCTTCGGCCGAAGACTGCACCAGCGCGGCGTCGTCGTCGCCGTCGTCGCCCGGGTCGCTCTCGTACGAGTACATGTCGCCCGTCTCATCCGTGGTCGAGGCCTCGGGCGCCCTGCCCGCCTTCCAGTTCGGCCAGCCGGCCTCGCAGCAGCAGCACCACCAATCGCACCAGCACCACCCGCAGCAGCTCCACCACTCGCGCAGCGCCCAGTTCCCGAGCATGTCGGCCTACGCCGGCGGTCATCAGGGCCACGCCCACGCCCACGCTCACGCCCACCAGTTCCACAGCGAGCAGCACGCGGCGGTCCACCAGCTCTTCTACTCTCCCACGCCCTCGCTCTCGTCTTGCTCGTCGGGCTCGGCCTACGACGACGCCCTGTCCGAGTTCGAGTCGATGGAAATTGCCGGCAGCGCCGGCCCCGCGGCCGAGCTGCACGATTCGAGCAGCTTGGCGGCGCAGCTGCCGCTCCCGACGGCACCGGTCTGCCTGTGCGCGTCGTGCGACGGCTTGGCCGCGGGCGATCCGGCCAATGACGGCCAGCCCGCGCTCGACGGCCACCAATCGGCGTCGCTTGAGTCCGTGGAGGACCTGCTGGGCGACCTCGAGCCCCTCCGGCTGCTCCACCTCGACCCCGCCATGCTCCACCACGACGCCACGTCCAGCGACCACCACCACTCCGTCTTCTGCTACGCGCCACAGTCGGCCTCGACCTCGGACTGCTGCGGCGGCAGCGGCGGCTTCGTGCCGGCCGTGCCCATGTCGTCGGCCATGATGGCCACCCCGCCCGTGGCGCCCTCGCCGCCGGCCTCGCCACCCCCGCCGCTCGCTCTCATGTCGGCGCCAGGCGGCGGCGGCGCCGGCGAGTTCGGGAGCCATCAGCAGCAGAACAAGCTGCGGCCATTCCTGCGGCGCACGATGGCCAAGGCGTCGGCGCAGGCGGCGGAGGGCAACCCGCTGGCCGAGGGCTTCATGGGCATGATCAACACGTGCCAGAAGATCATCAAGGACCGCGCCCAGAAGCGACGACGGAAGAGCATCGGCGACGCACTCGCCGCCGCACACGCCGCACACGCACACATCAAGCACGAGCTGCCGCACTACCAGCACTTGTACCACCAGCACGCGGCCAAGAAGCAGCACACGATGACTATCGCCGCCGTCGCCGCCGCTGCTGACGTGTCGTCGACGTCGACAACCATTGTCGACGCCAACGCGCTGGTGCCGCCGTTCGTGCTGAGCCTCGAAGACCTGCAGGGCGGCCACAGCAGCTTCGCATTCCAGGAGAGCGTGCTCGTGTTCGCCAACGAGTACCGCAAGATGTACCAGGCCGTGTTCGACCGACTGGTGCGGTTCGAGTACGCGATCCTGTTCGACGTCGTCTTCTCCTTCTGGAACCAGGTCAAGCTGCAGCCCAACTTCGCCCTTCTGCTCGACCACGACGCCCTCAAGAAGCAGGTCCTCGCCTACGACGCCAAGGTCCTCCACACGTTCAAGGTATGTCTATACACACTCCACGATATTTACCAGATGTTACGTGTGCAATCCAAAACAGTTCGTTGGAAAAGCTGGTGGCTAACTTTGCATTGCTTTGATTTCTGGTTGGGTGTTGTGTTGCAGGACTATTTCCTGATGAATCCGTTGAAGATGAGCGCGCAGCAGTTCGGGGGATTCCTGCAGACGATCGCGTTCCATCTGCCCTTCTCGGTGGAGCGGGCCACGCTGCCGCTGCTGCCGCCCGACCTGAGCGCGGAGAAGATGCGGCTGCTTCAGACCTTCGCGGCCGACCTCCAGGGCCAGGCCCAGAGCCTCACCCTCCCGCAGGCCTCCGCCGTCGCCTCCTCGTACCCGCCCCAGCAGCAGCCCTCGATGACGGTCATGGAGATCAACAACTACTGAGCGACTGCCACCAACGACGACGACACGGACGGCCGACTCACGCATCCATCTGCACACAATCACTCAATCATCACTCACTTCACTTCACACCACTATCTGCACATATTATTCACCACACACGACACGACACGACACTCACACCACCCAGAGAGATCTTCTGTTGTACCTATTGCTCTCCACCCCACCACCACCGCTTTGTGTTTGTGATCACCACTCACTCACGGGATCAATTTTTGTCAATACCCGACAACATACTTATATATTGATACTATATTGTACACACATATATATGGTTATGTACACTACTCTGGGGGACCTCAATGGCGCCGAACATTCGCGGAAGTGGTTTGGCGGGAACGTTTCGCGCCAAAAGCGCCTCCTGCACTCTTTGCGCCGTTTTCCTCCACCATCGCCAACTTTTGCTTGAACACAGCAGCCATGTCCCAGCAGCTCGTCTTGCGAGTCAAGCGCTTGTCGCCCAATGCCGTCCTCCCCTTCCGCGCGACTGTGGGCGCCGCGGGCTACGATCTCTGCAGGTTTGCGCCCAAAGATTTTTGGCGAAGATGGCCATGGATGAGGTAGATTGGTGATTGCTGATTTTTCATTTCAATTCCTTGGATGGTAGTTCGGAGAATTGCGTGGTGCCCGGAAGAGGCAAGGCGTTGGTGAGCACCGACCTCGCCATGGCCATCCCGCCCGACCACTATGGCCGCATTGGTACCGCTGCCCCCCCCCTCTTAGAGACGAACCGTGTTGAGTCTCTCCATCGCGTGGCCTCGTCGCCTGCTTGCTGCTGACTTTTTGGTTGCAACACGCCAGCGCCCCGATCGTCGGTGTCGTGGAAGAACCACGTGGACGTGGGCGCTGGCGTGATCGACGCCGACTATCGCGGCCACGTCAAGGTGTGCCTCTTCAACCACGCCGACGCCGACTTCACCAGTACGTTTCGCTCGCCTCACGATGCCCCCACTCTCGCGCGCGCTCTCGCTCGCCGGCTAACACCACCAAACGACCAACCAACAGTCCAGCAGGGCGACAAGATCGCCCAGCTGATCGTCGAGCGTATCTCCCTGCCCGACGTCGAAGGTGCCCCATACAAGCCACCCAGCCTCTCTCCATTCAACAATCACTCACCACTCCGTGCGCGCGTGTGCGATTGTGCGCGCGTGTTGTGCGTAACAGAGGTGGACGACATTGATGCCACGGTGCGCGGCGAGGGCGGATTCGGGTCGACCGGCGTGTCCTCCAAGCACTAACGCGAAGGCCTTCGAGTGACGCGAGCCCGCAGGGAGCAAGGGGCGCTGGCGCAGGACCCCGGCGGCCTTTGGCTTATTTTTATTTATTTTTGGTAATAATGCAAACAATAATTAATACACCCCACTCGCACGTGCGCGCGGTCTCTTCGCTCGCTTTTCTCTCTTTTTGACGCCACCACCGTCGTGTCGTGTCGTGTCGTGCCTTCCGGTCCGATGACACACGCGCGTGCGCGTTGCGTGTGTGTCATCACGCTCTGGCCAAGTGGGGGGTTGCTGCGCGGATGGATAAGGCGTAGGCGGCTCGGATGGTGGTTTGGGTCATCACTCGCCGCGTCCTTGGTCGTCGTCTTCTTCTTCTTTTTCTTCTTCTCCTTCTCGCCGCCGGTGTCCTTGTCGGCCTTCTCCTTCTTCTTGCTGCTCTTCTTCTTCTTCTTTTCGCCCTCCTCCGTTGTCGTCGACGATGCCTTCTTCTCCTTCTTCCTGCTGCTCTTCTTTTTCTTCTCCTTCTTCTCCTCCTTCCCGTCCTTGTCTGCGCTGGTTCGTGTTTTCCGTGTTGTCGCAACAGCCGGTGCTGGGACTTGGGCCCCGGGGCCGGGGCCGGCGCAGGGGACGAGGCCTTTGCCGGTGGTGACGTCGACGTCGACGTTGAAGAAGTCGTCGCGGGAGCGCTCTTGGCCGTCGCGGCGCTTTCGGGTCCGCTGTTTCCGTTCTTCTCCGGCACGGTCGGGACGGCGGTGGAGGAGGCTGACGAGATCCCAGGCGTGATGGCTCCCGGAGGTCGCGGTGGCAGCAGCGCGTCCCACTGCTCCTTGTTCTTGTTGTATTCGCGACCTGTGGCGGGCGCGGAAGGTTGGTTAGTTAGCTCAAATAGCAAAAGCTAATGCTGAGTATGTCAAGTATTATTGAAAACGATAATAAAAATAAAAATATAAGAAATGTACAACGGCGTACCCTTGATCATGTTGAGCTGGATGAGAAGGAAGCCGCAATCGGGGCGTTTCTCGGCCTGGCCCGACCAGCACGAGGTGATCATCATCTTGAACTCCTCTGGACAGGTGGCGGGCAAGGTGGGTCGGATCCCCTTCTTCGAAACGCCGATCAGGATCTGGAAATCGTAGCGCTGAACAAAGACAAAGAATAAGAGTAAGATTACGTTGTGTGCAATAAGATAAAATAAATCTACATAGATTTTATGAAAGAAAGGCGCAGTACCATGTTCGTGTACTCGGCGTATGGTCGCGCGTAGACGCCAGTGATGACTCGGCTCACGATCTCCCACAGGATGATGCCCAGCGAGAAAACGTCGGACTTGTTTGTGGCCTTTTGCTTCTCGTACAGCTCTGAGACCACACGACAAACGAGCGGCGGTGAGCGACTAGACGATCGCTTTCAACGTTGGGTCTGATCGGCAGTTCACAGAGTGGTGGTAGAGAGGTGGTGGATACCGGGAGCCGAATAGCCGTAGGTGCCGCGAAGCTTGTTGAGGGTGGAGAGCGTGTTGATCTGTCCGTCTGCGTCCTCTGTCACCTCCGTCTGACGCGCCAGACCAAAGTCTACAACCGCGGTTGAGAACAGAAACAGAAGAGAGAGAAGGAATCAGCAATGCCTGCAGCTGTGCAGGGCGCTTCCGTGTGATGGTAGTAGAACGTTACCGCAAACCTTGACGTTGAAGTCCTTGTCGAGCTGTAATGGCCAAAAAGGAAGAGAACGAAGCTTAGCGCTAGCGTGCGACCAGCAAGCGGGAAAGTAGAAAGCTGGTGAGGTCGGGGGAGGGTACGAGAAGATTGAGACTCTTGAGATCGCGGTGCACGATCTGAGGGTTCCATGTGTGGAGATCGTTGACGGCCTGGATCACCTGGCGAATGAGATCGAAGGTCTTGTCCCATTCCCAGAAGATGTCTTGCCGCTCTAGCACGTGGAGCAGGCTGCCCAGTTCACAGAACTCGAGCGCGATGCAGAATCGTGGTCGCATGCAGACGCCGTAGAATTCCACGATGCGAGGCCCCCTCACCAAGCTGGTGTTGAAAAATTGGACAAGATTAATGAGCAACGATTGCCATATAGTCCTAGCTTCGAAATGAGCGTGTACCTCATAACCTTGAGCTCCTTCTTAAAGTCTTGCCAGAGCTTTTCTTCGATACGCTCGCGTAGTACCTTGATGGCGACGGTGCCCCTGCCCTTCAATTCGCCAACGTAGACCGATGCCGAAGTGCCCTCGCCCAAGAACTTGGTGAACGTGAGATCCTTAGGATCGAGCAACTACGTACGCACCCGCGAGTTGTGAGAATGGGATCAAAATGAAGTAAACTCTCTCTATAAGATAGGATCACAAGGTGAGGGCGTACCTCGAACCCCATGCTCCGTTCTTGGTCAGTGTAATCCGATTCCCATTCTTGAAAGCCGGCATTCAGCTTCTCGATGTCCTCCTGATGGTCTGCGTCCATTTTCTCTTTTCGATTGTCTCAGCCTTCTTTTCTTGCAACCTCCTTCCGTTTAGCCTACAGTCTCAGAACAGAACGGCTCGAGAGGCGAGCGACCTATTGAATTAAGTCTTCTTGATCCACAATCTTCTTCCAATCAAGCGGAGGCTGAAGATCTTGAATGGATGTGCGTTTCTGCTCCTCCTTGCCGGCTGAGCTCTGCGAAAATAAGAAATAGCCCAAGAAAACAAAAATGAGGCAACAGCCGAAATAAAGTTGTTTTGTTTCCTTGTCTTCTCAATGCTCACGCTCCACAACCTAACGTGGTGAAGGACTTGGTTTGAGGCTGGCAAGGAGTAACTTGGACCAGATCTGAGAGGTAGGGGGGAGCGGTACCGATGTACTTCTTGTGGTGAGTGAGGCACTTTCCTTCGTTTTCCTTCGTTTCGCGCTCTTCTCCGGGAGGGAAGGCCGTGCTCTGGGAAGCGGAGAGGGCGGAGGAAGAAAAGGTGGTCGAGGTCGACGTCAACAGGCGTTTCCTCCTGAGTCACAGATTGTGCATCTGCTGCCATAAGTCGTCGCTGATCTCTGTCTCGCTCGTGGCGGCGTTGGGCGACGAAGCGGAGAGGGCGGAGGAGGAAGAGGTGGTCGAAGTCGACGTCGGCGGGCCTTTCTCCCCGAGCAACAGATCACGTATCTGCTCCCCAGCGTCGTCGCTGTCTCCTTTCTGGCTCGTGGCGGCGGTGGCGGTGGCGGCGGCGGCGGCGATGGTAGTGGATGAGTCGTCCTTCTCGGTGCCCTCGGTGCTCCAGCGCTCTTGCTTGTCGCCTCTTGCACGTGGTGGCGGTGGTGGTGGCGGCGTTGATGGTGGAAGAGTCGCCCTTCTCAGTGCTTTGGTGGCGGCGGCGGCGATGGTAGCGGATGCGTCGTTCTTCTCAGTGCCCTCGGTGCTCCAGCGCCCTTTCTTGCCGCCTCTCGCTCGTGGTGGCGGTGGTGGTGGCGGCGTTGATGGTGGAAGAGTCGCCCTTCTCGGTGCTTTGGCGCCCTTAGTTGCTTTCTCTGCCTCGCCGCTTGCTGCCTTCCTGCAGCGATTTGGCCGAATAAAATAGAATAAGATAAAAATGAAAAGAGCGTTAAGGAATGGAGGGGACTGGCCGTACTCGTCTGGCTGGCGCGGCTCAGGCTTGTCGCTGTTGCCCTTGGGCTTTTTTGAATGATTGACTGTGAGTGGTCCAACCCAACTCGTGCATGCGTGGATGTGGGCTTGTGTGCGTGTACCTGCTGGTCGAATTCGCAAAGCTGGTTGAAACAGTCCCATCAAATCATGACACCCTGTTCGTGGACATCTTCAACAGGAGGCGGCTCTTCTTTTTCCATCGTGTCCACCACTGTGAGGTGCAGACCTCAGCAATTGCTGCTGATGAGGAGAAGGAATGAAAGAGGAGAAACACACCTTCTTGAGCCGTCATCTGGTGGTAACAGCCGTGGCAGACTGACACCGATTCCTCTTCTTTTTCTGAATTGCACACTGGTGGGTCCTGTGCTTCTGCTGAGGCCTTCATCACAAATGCTACGTGCGCAATTTGTGTTGTTACCCATTTGTTTGCGCTGGGTCAGCATTATGATTGGTCCACCTGCACCACCATGGTAACACCACAGGAGAAGAATGAAGGCAGCACCTTGTGATGAGTAGATCTTCTGCTGGTAAATGGTGCTGTGGCGCGCTGTGCGCACTTTGACAAGCAGCGATTTGATGTCTGGTGACCCTGACAGCTGGAGATGGCAAGGGTTGACAGCAGTGATGTAGTAGCTACTGTTGGATAGTCATCACTTTATGTAATTCCTTATCCTTTTCTTCAGTCTCATTTCTTCCTTTATTCTCATAGTACCCTGTATTATATACATGTCAAACTCCTCAAATACATCATCTTTTTCTCTCCATGGTTACTCAGCCTTGTTCATCACTTGACCTCCCAACAGCTACCATTGGCCTGACAAGGGAGCTTGCACAAGTCCTGGGTGATGGTGTTCCTTCCCTTTCCTTGGAGTGTGATGGTGAAGGGTCATACTGCAGGCGCAAGGAACAGAGACAGCATGGGCAGGTCATCAGGTATCTGGTGGTGGAGCACCAAGGCTGGCAACACCCAGAAGGAGGCATGCATGTCTGTACCAACTGGTAAGCAGGGAGCATTCAATGGTGGCATTAGCATTGTTCCCCAGGTTTGCCTCAACAGATCACTGGGTGGTGATTCCTGAAGAGGGTGGCTGCCTTGGGCCATGCCCTGTGCTTGCAGTGCTACCAGCACAGCAGCACCCCCTGGCACTGAGGCTGTAGCAGCCATTTCAACAGCAGCCATGGGGAAGTGCTGTTGTTCTTGTGGCTCTTTGGGGGGGGGGGACATAGTCACACTTGGTAAGCCTCAACAAGACCAAAAACGTAGAGGAGCTGCCATGCACCTGATAAAGTCCAGTCTCCCTTTGCTTGGAAGGTGTTTGGAGGAAAGTCAGACCTGAGTATGTCTCCCCAATATGTGAACTCATCCCCACAGTCAGACATGAGCCTGTCTTCCAAAGAGGCAAAGCCTTTTGCCCCCC